TCAGCTTTTAATGTTTTCAGCAATCTATGCATCTGTGGTGCAACACGTAGTGTTGCTTCACTTCCTGAGTTGAAATTGCCTCTCTGCTTCAAAACCTATGAGAGACCTGTTCCATTGTGGGTACCCAAGTGATGACAAGAGGTGAACATCATTAAAATTCAGAAGAATGCTCTGCAGTTACCTGTCTGTAAATATTCTGCATACAGAGGTCCAATCTTATAGTTCCCATGCAGATAGCTCTACATCACTGGGGGCCAACCTTTTCGGCAGGCATGCCCCAGCATCGCCCCATGATAGCCCCATGCACTCCCTAAGTACCACTTCAATCCCCTTCCTCTGTCCAGTCTAGCAGATCGGACAAGGAGCAGAAAGCTGCCTGTCCCCTCCCTGATCTGCCACATGCCACACACATACAGCCTGCCCATGCCACTTATGACACAAGTGCAGCAGGTCGGCCACCCCTGCTGTACATGATGGTGAAAGGAACTCCATCTGTGCAAGGACTGTTAGTTTCCAAAGGACAGGCAGTATTCAGCCCTGCAGGAAGTGGATTAATGGCATTCTAAGGAGTCTCATCTCTCCCTGCCACAATACCCAGGTCTAGTTTATCAGGAGCTAATAATATCAATCAAGAGTAAACAAATGTATGAAGTCTGGAACAGGTAGTAATGAAGAGTGCATGATCTGCCTTTCACATTTGTTATGGAGTGCATGTGTTTTTAAATTCACCTTTAACCATGCAGACTTTTTTGAATATGAAACAAGCAGGGTACATATAAAACCCAGTTCCTTTCAAGTTCTTACAAGGGTGTGCTAAGATTGCAATAGCTGTGTGATTAAAGATGGCCAAATAATAATACCTGACCAGGTATACAGAGGACAAAGGTTGTTAGCCATACTTGTCTGAAGTCAGGCAGGAGGCAGGACAGGGTGGTAGTACCTTATCAGAGACTGATTCAGAGAGGTAGGTAGGCAACAACCTACTTTGTCAGGTGCAAGAATGAATCGAGCCCAATGTATTGCAGCACTGCCGAAAAGTAGCCATTGGGATTGAGCCCTCCATTATGTTCAGCAGAAGTTATGTTCAAGAAGCATGTACAAATTGTCTGGCTGTAAAATGAGTTATTGTACACCTAGAATGAAAATGACTCTTCCACCAGCTTTAACAAAATTAGCATGTAGTTGGATTTCCACATATTTGGCTCTCACTCAAAGAGGTGAAGCAGCTGGTGAGGCAGCCTGAAGGTGGGGCCAGGGCTGATTGTGAGGCATCTGACCCAAGGGGAAGGCTGGGCGTAGACCAGATATAAGCCCAAGAGACAGTCGGACCAGAGGGTCCAGGCCCAGAAGAGGGGCAAAGTCTGGTATCAACCAAAGGGTTCAGGCCCAGAAGAGGGGCTGAGAGTGGTACCAGGGGGTCTGGAGGTCCAGAAGAGGGGCCAACCATGTGGGACTGAAACCAGGAGACATCATGTTTGAAACCAGGAGACATCATGGAGTGATAACACTCATGAGGCATGGGTTGAGGGGTGTAGGGGCAGACACAGCCACGCAACTAGCCCATAAAGCATTCACCACGGTCACATGGTGGTCATCATTACAGAAAGACCAGGGCAGCCTTCCATATCTAAGTAACAAATAAAATCAAGGAATGGTCGGCAAAAGAAGGACTGACTGCCCAGAAAATAGGGTAGAGAGCATTTTTTGGCCTCCATGGGCTTCTCAGCCACCCTTGGAGATGGTGCCCTGCAACAGGCACACACTCATGACAAAATGCAGCAATGGGCCATTTTAAGGTTGCCCGATAGAATCTACTTGTTATAGGACTCATGGCACGATAGCCAGAAAAAGGAATTAACTGCCTCCCATGAAAGATGGGGTGAAGGATTTCAACTGTTCTTAGTCTTTCTGGGATCCGGTGATCCAGGATGCATTGAGAACCTGGGAATGAACTGTGCTGGGGTCTGTACCACACTCTTCAGAGAAGCCCTAATTGAGTTGATATTCACCTTCTACTAGGCTGAAGTAAGTCTTCTGGGATTTGGGATTGGTACTATGGGCCAAGCACTGGTCCCCTCTCTCTAGGTTGATCTGAGCTGGGAGGTATCCACACAATAGGAGAGGAACAGCAAATTATTTTCCTATTCTACCTTCTATGGACTGGTACTCAGTACTACCAGCTGGGGCCACTCTCACCTAAACAGGATCCTGCTCGACTTCAGATCTCTGGTCTGACCAAGATATAAAGGGGACTGCTGGTACTATTTGCATGTTTCTGAAATGCACAGTATTAGTCTGCCTTCTGCTCCTAGTCTGTAGGTAATATTGACAGAAAAGACATACGAAGGAATCATCTGAGCCTATTTTTAAAATTCTGAAATCTTTACTATAAAAAATAGCTTTGCTCTTTTTGTTGCACTCTCTATTTGAAAATGACTGTGTTTACAAGCTGCAACAGAAAAGAGAAGAGCAAGTCACAGATTGTAATATATTTTACAAGATGCTTTGTGTTCTATAGACAGCCTAAAACAAGGCAGCGGGGGGAGAGGCAGGAGTGGAGAAATAATACATTTACTTCATGAGACTGGGTAAGTGACTAAGAATACACCTTTTCTTAATGGTTTGTTTTTGTGTTTAATGTCCATATTTGATTCAATCTCTCCCATTATTCAATGTTTTTCATAGTTTAGAGGTGATTTAGGATATTTCCTCACATATCCTACACTCATTTCTCCTCAAAATTGGGGTGCATGTGCAAAGCATGAAAGCTGATTTTCTGACTGGGATTTTCTGGCATCACTATTCAGGCAGCTGAGGAAGTCATTTGAATTAATGTCTCACTGTTCTTCTCTCAACAAGCATTAAAAATTGTCTCTCCATTTTAATAGTCTTGGGGCACATCTACACGTCACCATATGGTGATGTTGCTATGGCACTGTACACTAACTGCCTGTACTGTACCATGCACACAGCGCACAGTTAGTTTTTGCTGCTATTTTGCCATAGCAGTTTGGTAAAATGGGGAAGAACACTGCTATAGCGAAGTAGCTGCTGATCACGTGTAGATTCACGTGCTCGCTATGTCACCGTAGTATGCCATGCAGCAATGTAACACATCACTACGGCGATGTAGACACATCCTTGGAGTTTCACTAGTCAAACTAACCTTTCTTAGGCAAGTTTGCTGTCTACTAGCTGTTCCTGGTCTCTCTTTCCTCCTATTTCACATCCCTGGAGACTTCAGCTTTTTCAAAATCATAGCTCCACACAAGAAGGCCAGTCTTCAGCCACAGCTAGAGTTTCAGCTTTAGTTAAGCAGGAAAGGGTGGCTAAATCATCTAAAGATTAGGCTATGCCCTGCTTTATGCAGCCATAATCTGAAAGAATCTTTTCTCTTCTTCATTCTGCCTTTCAAAAATAAGGTATGTATTATATTCTGGGTCATGTTATACGCAAGAAAACACAGAAATAGCTTTTAAAGTCAGAAAAGACATTGAGAAATTAGCCTGTTTAGCCTTATTTTGTAATCAAGTTGCCTCTTTCATCTTGGTTTGACAAATACCTTCAGAGAGAGAATGTACCAGATGCTGAAGGACTCCTCAGTCTAGCAAAGAAAGGTATAAAAGACCATTCACTGGAACCTGAAGTCAGTCAACTAAAATGTTGTGCTCCATTCATAATTTGAACAGTGAGCACAATTAACTATTGGAACAGGCTGACCAAAAAAAAGTTGCCGTTTTTCCAGCTCTTAATATCTTCAAATCCAGAGGAGCTGCCTTTTGGAAAGATTTGCTTTAGCTAACCAAAGGTTATTGGAATCAGTCTGGGATTAAACAGGGTGAAATGTAATGGTCTATACCAGTGGTTGGCAAGGTTTTCTGGCAATGAGCCATAATGTCCCAGGTGGGCCAGTGCTAGGACCTACCTGCTGCTTTTCAGCTCAGCCACAGTTCAGCACAGGCAAAGCTCCTGGCTGTGGAGTGCTGCAGAAGCCACCCAGCTCTATGAGCCAAATCCAGCCTGTGAACCATAGGTAGCCAATGAACCCCTGGCCTATGCTGTACAGGAGGGTTGGATTTGATGATCCCAGGTCTCTCAGTGGAAGTCATTTTTATCCAGCCCTCAAAACCATGCCAAGGACAAACATTGAGAGCAGCAGCTGAGGGCACTTCCAAGGTGACCTCGCCACCACCTCTGAGTGGGTAAGCAGGGCTGTGCTACTCAGCAAGGTCTCTGGAACACTGCAGAAGTGGTAAAGTCATGCTTGGCGCTACCCCTTTCCTTACCAGTGAGAGGTTAATGCACACCCCTTTGCATGGTCCAGCATACCCATTAATCCACATCACCTACTAATCCATCCACTACCCATTCTCATTAGGCACACTTTGCCAATCTGTGTATCATCCAAACACTTAACTTCTGAATAAATATATTCAGTAGAATTGCGTCTTGAATCTACCAAATGTCACTAGAAACATCCTTATTCAGGGCTGATTTAGCCAGTTCTTAATCCATTTCATGTGAACTTTACTTTGTATAGTGCTAATTGTAGTGCTTCTGATTTGAATTACACAAGGGAAAGTATTTACTTTTCATACTGTACACTGCCAAGTCTAATCATGAGGCTAAAAGAAGGCATACAAATAATGTTGGGGAAATTGGAGCTCTGCTAAGGAAATATTTAAATATCTTGTTACACAAAAAAGAAACACTTGAGTGATCATTTACCTTCAGCAATACAAAGGAAACACAACAAAATAGGTTATTTTAAATCTTATGTAATTTTTTCCTCTACTAGTTAGCTAAGCCTAGTGCAAACATTTACCTACATGTTTTTATGAATTCAATATGCTGATCATATCAAAACAATATTGCAAATTCAGCAACCGAAATCTCCAGGGGAATGGATGGGAAGTAGACCGTATAAGGGGTGACATCACTTCTAAAAATACAACTGACTTGCACAAGGGCAAATAAAAAGGCGCCTTTTCTTCCCCGGAAGCCTCAGACAAATTTTGAAGCTGAAATTGATAAGAACAACTGATCTGTTTCAGTCAGAATGAGACCCCCTACTGCTATTCTGCTGCTAGCTCTGCTGGTGATCTGCCACTCTGTGAATGCTGGTGAGTACTGGTACTTTGAGCAGGTGACTTCTCGTTTGGTGAATGGTAAACATTGCAATAAGCCCAATTACCAAACCTTCAGAGTGTGATACAGGGACTTGGGCACTAACCTAGAAGACGTGGGCTTTCTTCCCAACTCTGCATTACTAACGTACTCTGTGCCCTGGATCAAGCTGCTCCACCTTTGTGGTGTAAGTTCTGGGGCAGAGGGGCACAGAGAGTCCGTGCAGATGCCCCACTGAACAACAGGATCCTTGATCTAGGTTGAGGATTCTGTGCTCTATTTTAATACATGCTATTCCCTGTTTCAGAGGAATTTAGATGTCCAAATGTAAATTCAAAAGTACCTATCTGCACCTTGAGGCACCTAAATATCTCTAAAAATCTGGCCCTTTTTCTGCAATCTCACATCAGCAAGTGAGATTTGTTATATGGAGTAAAGTACTGTGCTGCAGGAGCAAATAGAGCACAAGTCGACTGTTTGTGCCTCAATTTCCTAAATGTAAAATAGAGAGAAGTAGCTAGCTGTTGTAGTCTGAAGTTGGGCAGAAGGCAGGGTAGAGGTGTACTTTATAAACTAACTGAATCAGAGAGGCATACATTTTTCTGAGCCACAGTTCACTTAATCAGATTTGATTAAATGAGCTGATTAAGATTCAGATTTGGCTGACAAAAGCCTATGCCTCTCTGGTTCAGTTAGTCAATATATACTATATATACCTACTTGCAGGGACCTAGGAGCATTTGCTCATTACGCTTGATAAAGTACGCTGACATGCTCTGGTGGAAGGGGCTAGGCATATACAAAATATAATACTCAACTTTTTTTATTTCCTAGTGCCTAAAAATCCATTAATAAGTGTAGTTGAAAGCAGATTCCTGTGTTCTTGTAAATAAATCTCAGATATTTAGTCAGCCAAAATCTCTGAATTTATATCCAACTTGATCATTTTTTTCTCTTCACAGGCATCTTGGAAACCAACACACGCCTCGCATGCAAATGTATAATGATAAGGTCGCAATACATACATCCAAAAGTTTACCAAAGTGTGGAGATCTTTCCTCCAGGGAGTGCCTGCCGGCGTACAGAAGTTATGTAAGTGGTGTGAATTGCTTTTAACACAGTATAAAACAGTTGCAGGTGAAAGGAAGAACTTCCCCCTCAGAGCAGCATCCATCACACAAATGTTACCACCACTGTCTTCCACTTCCCTTTATGAGACTGAAACCCTCTAAAATAGTTTGTCTAAGCAGTCAGTAGGACCGCTTTCTGTAACAATTCTGAATGATTTCCTCAGTTACTATTTGCCTGGTTATAACAAGGTAATGTTTCTCTGACCCAAGCTGTGAGCATGATGAGACAGACAATGTAGAAGGTCTTTAATATAAATAAGTCTGTTGTAACACCATTAGTTCTTCTGCAGCTCCAGAGACGTTCTGCCTTTATGGTAGCAATTCTATTAGAACCAGCACAAATGGTCAAACTTCTGGGGCTTTAAATGCAGACAGTCTTCCAACCTGACCCATTAGCCTCTATAAACACAATGGGCCAAACTCTGTAACAGCAGGAGATTATTCTTTACTAACTGATCAGCTTTTAAGAGTTGGCCCACTTCTGTTCTCCCCTGTTTTTTGTGACCCTTATTTCAAAATGTTGAAAGCTACATATTACCATCTTCCTTTTTTTTAAGAGAGGTTTTTCCACTTACTGTTAGATTAGGAATGAAAGGAGAGTAAATATATAAATGCTATTATGCATACACACACACACACACGTACATATATGTTCATGTGTATATTATGTGGGTATGTATATTATTATTCTCTAGTTTCTTCTATATGTACAGACAGAACACACTTAATTATCCTCTGCCTTTTGTGGACAGAAATACTGCACTTCCTGGCATTTTATTGATAAGTTATATATTGTGAATATCTATCTATTTTAGCAGTCTCTGCCCCATCCTCTCTTTAAATATTATTTGGCTTGTTATGAGATATTTGTATACATACAAAAAGTGACCAGTAGTAGTATTTAATACTCAAGATCACAGAATTTACTTTTATTCTTACGAGGAAGGAATAAGTTAATGAGACTCTTTGGGTTTGTCTTCTCCTGAAACAGAGGTCTTCTTAAAAGTGAACTTTTTTGCATTTTTCCCATTTTTATTTTCAATTATTTTGCACTTCTTGGTTTTGGACCTGGACCAAATGTATCACCAAAAATTGCTTATTTACATAGGTTGAAAACACTATAAGAGCAAAGCCTAGATGTTTTCTGTGACAGCTTGACTTAGCTGGCTTCTTATCCCCATTTTGAGATCAGAGAGCTATGGATTAACTCTTTAAGTAGGGAAGGAAATGAATGCCTAGCATGTTGTTCAAGTTTTAGTTTTGTGAAAACTAAAAATAGGTATTCAGGACCCACCTTATCTGAGCCAAAGCTTGGCTGCTGGGAACAGGAAAGAGAATTCCCTCTCAAGTCCTTGTTTTCTATAGAAGCATCTTCTCACTTGAGAAGTTTTGGATGCTCTGGTCACATTGGAGCAGTAGAGTCTCTTCTTACAGATTGCAAGTGTGCTAAATCCCCCTCAGCCAAGCAAAATAAGCCCTACTGCTTTGAAATAACAGTCACACAAATATTTTGATTACAGAGCTGTTGGTGTGTTAATCCAACCCTACTTTTAGACCCCAGCATGTACATCTACAGAAGTAAAATGTCTCAGACTGTAGAACCAGAGCTGTTAAAAACTGGATTCTAATGATCACATGTAGCATGTGCTGAATCCAAATTTTATTCTTGGAACAGTGAAAATTGCGTGATATCAGGAAGTAGTACCTTTGTCCCTGCTACCCCATACGCTCAACTAATAGAAATTCTGTCCCATAGTTGCATGTTTGAAGAATAACTGGCTGCTAGTACATTAAGTTGGAGACAGTACAGTGTTAACAAAAGCATAAACTCTGATTGATTTTTCAGAATCACACTTAAAAACGGGAATAAAGTATGTGTGGATCCTGAGATACGTTGGGTAAAGAAAACACTGAAGGCACTTTTTGAAGCGTAAGTTTCTTTCAATATGGTCCTACCTTGCAGTCTTGAATTTCATAAGAATTCAGTGGCACCAGTTGCTTATCTAAGAACACCATATAGGATTAAAGCTGGGGCTTTTCATTTGAACCATCACAGCTAAGAGAATTGATCTGATCTGGCTATGTGAAGGCCTACCATGTAAATTAGTATTTACTCTTTCATGAGAACAGAGGTTCTAGTTTTGGTTATATATCCCTTTTATTCTAACCCTCTATTTCAACATGTTCAGACTTCCCCAGAAGTCCAGTGGTCCATACCACCTGGTTTCAGCCAGGAAAAGAATTTTTCTAGAAAGTTTGGGCAAAATTCAGCTGCCCACTTTTGAATCATAGAAAATTCCCCACTTAATAGTAATGAAGTTGACTGTAACCAACTACTGGTGCTTCTCACACAGCTCAAGCAACTGAAATCCCCAAGGTCTGGTGTTCTGGTTGATTTCTCTTTAGGTATTTCTATGGTCCCCATCAACAAGGGATGTGTGGCACAAGAATATTAGCTAATTATCCTCACTAATCTCTGTAAGGCTATAAACAGACTTTGTCCTTGGAGCAGGGTCAGCTGTGCCAGGATGTGTCCTGACACAGCTGATCTGTTTCACTGAGTGACATCAATGTTATCTGTTGTGTTGCCATGCCCAGACTCAGAACAATATGTATACCCAGGAAACCCCCACTTAGGGGACTCCCCAGGCATACCTCTGTAAGCAGGGAAATCCAGGCAGTCACTCCCAAGCCTTCAGGGGCCAAATCTGGCAGGGAAATTCCCAGCACAAATGGGCAGGTGCTCCTAGTGCTGGAGGGGCCTGATCCTAAGGCAGCTGGAGAGCTCAGGCAGCTCCAGGCTACCTGCATTCTCCCGCCATAAAGCAAACAGATGTCCACTTCAAAAAAAGGGTACATATTTTCACCACCTGCTATCATGGCCACAATTTTGAGTATGTGTGATGCAACAAGGTGCATGGATGGCTGTTTGCTTGGGCTTTGTGCTTCCTTGAAAAAATTATGGCTACAGAAAGGCAACATCTGTTTGGTGCCTCAATCTCACAAGTATATCCTTCTCTTACCAAATGGGTTAATAATATTCCCTTCCCTTAAGCTCCAAAGGAGATGCTGAGCACTCAGTTGTGTCACCTAGAGAATAAGCCCCCCCTACCCATTCCTGCTCCATGTTTCCATCCACAAACCCCAGTGAGGTGATGAGGACACTCTAAGGTTGCCCCAAACTGCTGCTCTTGGGCACATGCCAGAAACCCAGGTCTTTAGCCTATGTCTTGGGGCATACCTATGTTATCCTCAGCACTTTATTGGCACATTCAGAGTTGGAATTGGTAGGTGGGGACTTGCTCCCTTGGCACCATGATCTCCATGCAGCAATTAAGACCATGCTTAATAGGGATGGATTTAGGCCCTAACCTGAAAAACCAACTTGAGCATGTTCGTTGACAATTGACATAAGCAAGGAGGTAGCAGAACCAGGACCTGGGCCTGGATCTGTTGAATCCCAGCTCACTGCATTAACCACAAAATCATTTTCTTTCTGCACAAAGGACTGGGGCTTTTTTATTTTATATGCTGAAAAGCTTGTTAACACGGGTGAAATCAGGACAGCTTGTAAAATGTCTACTAATTGTTCTTGGGTTGGTGATTATATACGCTTTTTAGTTCACTGATGT